GGGGGGGGTCTGGCACTGCTGGGACCCATCGCTGAACAGCCACGGGCGTCTTGCCCCGCATGCCCCCTCTGCTCCACCGTTTCTGTGCCGGGAAACGGGGCTTTCGGGGGGTGGAGGGTGGCCCGGTGGGGGGTGTACCCGCCAGGAGAACCGGGCTGGGCCTTGCTCTTGGCATCTCTTCTTCCTCGGCTGAGTGTTGAAGCTAGCAGCGGTGTTTCTGCCTTCCCTGTAGCTTCAGACACAGCTTAAGACCGAGGTAGGAGCCTAAAAAACACGGCTGTGTGTTGGTCAGGCCTCCTGTTAATTTTCCGTGTGCGTCCCAGCAAGGATGAGGCCTCTGAATTTATAAGGCGTTTGTCTGGTTAACGGAGAGTCTCACTTCGGCTGGTTTTCCTCCCTTTCCAGAGCTTTGCGGGTCTTAGGTTGGCTTAGGTTCAGTGAGAAGGCTGAAATGTCCCTGCCGGAGTGGCACATCGCGGTGAAGCTGGCGGATCAGCCGCTGGCTCCCAAATCCATCTTACGTTTGCCGGAGACAGAGCTGGGAGAATGCCCGCTCGGTGGATGCAGCATCTCGTACCTCAAGCAGCTCATCACCGGCAAGCTGCAGGAGTCTGTCCCAGACCCTGAGCTCATCGGTAGGTGCCTGCGTGGGTCGTGTCAAAGTCCTACCGCTTGGGGCCACCCTCTTCCTCCTTCTGTTAGTGGTGTTGGGCTGGTGGGAAGACTTGGCACAACCAGATAGCATGGCGTGGGAGCTCAAAGCACGCTCCAGAGACTCTGCTGTGCCGTAGTGGTCTTGGGACCTTGTGATTTGGATGGTTTGTTCTGCATTTGCTTGGGATCACAGTGCTCCTGCAGCATCAGTGCCCTTGTTAAGAAACCTTCCGACTTGCTAATACCAATGTGTCCTTGTGAGATCTCTTATGAGAACTGAGAGAGGTCAGCTCCTCTAAAGGAGGTGGCAAAGTCACATTCTGTGAGTCTCGGCTCCACAATGCCCTCCATGAATCTCAGCTCCATAATTTCCCTGTGTTACAGAGTCCCTGTGCTGCTGACCAGGTGAAGCAGCTGCACATGTGGAGCAATAACCCCCAGGCAGTCCTCACTTAAAGACCCCAGGCCCTTTCTGAGTGTGCCATAGCTGTTTATCTTTAGATGTTTCTCTCTCCTAGATCTGATCTACTGTGGCCGTAAGCTGAGGGATGACCAGACGCTTGATTTTTATGGTATCCAGTCTGGCTCCACTGTTCATGTCCTGCGCAAGTCCTGGCCTGAGCCTGATCAGAAGCCAGGTGAGGCGGAGGCAGTGTGGGTTACTGCTTGGATCTCCTCGGGATGTGTTTGGTGTGGGGCTCTTGTGACTGAGGAACAGCTTCTCTTGTGATTTGTTTCTGTGAGGCTGATGTGAGGTTTGGAGGAGGAATTGATTGATATGTTTGTGTGGGAACGCTCTACCTCTAACAGCAGTAAATGAGTGTTATGTTTTCTCGCTGATGGAAGAGTTCAGGAATAAGCTATGTAATGTGGAGAGCGAGTATCCTTTCCTTAATTGACTGTGACCAATTTTAGGGTGTTGCCAGAGAACCAGGAACAAAGCGACTGGTTACTCAGCTTGAGGGATGAGCAGGCTTGCGTGCGTTCCTAATCTGTCTGACTGTAGAATAAGATGGGTTGGTTTAGAGTTGTTACTTTAATACAGCTCCTTTTGTAGGTGTAGGATACATCTATATCTGGAAGCTGAGAGTGCAGTTGTTACGCCGT